GTTGTTGTTGCTGTTGTTGTTGTTGTTGTTGTTGTTGTTGTTGTTGTTGTTGTTGTTGTTGTTGTTGTTGTTGTTGCCGGCGGAGTTGTTGGTGGTGTGAAGGCGATGTGTTGGTCGTCGAGCCCATAGAATGAAGGCCGTGCACAGAGGCGGGTGTCGGGCCGGATGTTGGTGGCGGCACAAAAGGTGTTATTTTCTTCATCAATGGCATCGCACACCCGGGGGGGGGGGGCATGCAGGGGTGTGGGGGGGGGGGGGGTACTCGTGTTTCGCAAGCCTTGGTTTTCCACTATTCAACCCGCGTCATCCGGAGGCCATTGTTCCCACAGGACTGATCACCGATGGCCAACCGTTCCTTCCTTCTTTGCCCAACTCAAAAACGTTGTCCCCATCTTACCTATCCTATCGGCATGTGTGAGGGTGGGGTAATCAGCTGTTTCCGTGTCTTGAGTGTTTCACCAACCGTGCTTCATTTGTTCCTCTTTCGCACAACCATCTGCACTAATCATGCATCACGCTGCGCTCGCTGGATTGTAAAGAGACGAATGAATCATCAATAATCATACATACACCCCAGTCTCGCTTCAAGCCATGGCCGACTTCTCTCCTCCCCAGCAATGCAACAAAAAAAAACGAACACGTCTCCTGGATTGCCCTACCCTCCCCCTCCTTCGACGTCAGAAAATCCGATATGGCCCCATCGCCCACCATCACTGGGACTGCTTAAGCAAAGGAACGTGAGCTTGTCACGAAGAAAGACCTGATAGGGTGCACGCAGACGCAAAACCTAACCCCACCTTAGCCGATCTATACTTCATCCAGCATGTTTGCATACCTAACAAAAACTGAGTAGACTATTTGGACACAAGACCAGACAGGGGGCACGCAGACTAACCCTAACCCTAACCGCAACTTAGCCGATTCAATACTTCATCCAGTATGTTTGCAAACATAAAAAACCTGCGCAGACTGTTGCATCGCTACGCCGCACCACACCTCAAGCCGTGTCCGACGCCATTCCCAACCCCTCCGGCCGCGTGCGCCCTTTCCGCGTAGCTCTTCCCTTGGTCCAAGGCTTCCAGGTTAAAGAACTCAACCACGTCGGGGTGCTCCCACAGCTCTGTTCCCACCAGCGCCCCATCGGGAAAGAGAGAGACACGACAATGGCAACGGGCGGGAGAGGTAGGAAATTCTTGCATTTGAGGCCAAAGCAAACACAAGCACTCCGTCATTTCCAGAATTCAGTCAGAGAAAAACGTTCTTAGGCTTTCGGTCATTTGCCGTATTTATTTGTTGTCAGTCGTGTTGCTCCTTGCCTTCGCAGACGAAAAACCTTTCTGACCTCCCTGTTCATCCTTCTTGTCCGCAATACAGTGGGGGCCCGATCTTGTGCCGGTTGAACAGTGCCAATGCCCGGGATAGTGCCGGTGTTTTCGGGGAGTACACAATGAATTTCCAAGTAATTGTGAGTACTTGGAACACTGCCGGTCCGGTTTAGTACCAAATGAACTTGACGGTGAATCTTTTGGGCACATAGCGGCACTAGTACACAGGGACCCACGCTGTATCCGACACCAAGACACCACACTGGAAAAATTCGGTGATCGCAGGTGGCATTTTCTTACATGTTGCCTTTCGGAATAAGGCTCAACAATAAGCTGAACGTGTGTTCGCCAAAGAATGGCCAGGAAAAAGAGAACAAAAAAAGTTCTTCGATAGGATAAGAAAGAGCCATAGGCAACAAGACAAGAACGATGAAGCGAATCCATGCTGGGCGAGCGTCCTGTGCCATGCAGCAAGCTGTGTAGCGCAGGAAACGCAAATCCATACAAAGGCAAAACGCAATACTTTCTCTGCATCTCTCTGTCTGTCTCAATCTGTCTTCTCGTAGATGCCTGTTTTTGACTAGCGCCTGTCTGTCTCTTCTCTGTCTGTACCTAGCTGCCTTTTTGTATATGCCTGTCTCTTGCATGTTGCCTGTCTGCCTCTTCTCTATCTGTATCTAGCTGCCTTCTTGTATGTGCCTGTCTCTGCCTGTTGTCTGTCTGTCTCTATCTGCCTTCTCATACATGCCTGTCTCTGTCTCTGCCTCATTCTGTCAGTCTATCTGCTTTCTCGAATATGCCTATCGCTGTCTGTCTGTCGTCTGTCCGCCTGTTCCCGCCCTTCGCTATCTCTCTCTCTCTCTCTGTCTCTCTCTCTCTGTCTCTCTCTATCTCGCTCCCACACACACTGTCTCACTCAATGTCCCTGTCTCTCTTTCTCACGCTCTCCGTCTCTATCATAGCTCACCAGGGTTCTTGTTGAACAACTGGCGCAAGAAGCTACCCAGCTGCTCCTTCCGGTGCCTCACGAACTCGCTGTTAGCGTCGGACCTGTCGCCGAGGAAGCTCTCCTCCGTCACCACCCGCTTCCCCGGAAACTCGGGAGCGCCCTCGGATCGCACCTGCCCCTCGTGCTGTTTTTGTTGTCGTTGTTGTTATCGTTGTCGTTGTTGTTGTTGTTGACGTTTCGCGTCGTCGATGTTGATTGTTGGTGAGCAACCACGAGAGTTGTTGTTGGTGTTCATGTTGTCGTTGGTGACGTTATTGTCGTTGGCGGCAGCGATGTTGTTGGTCGGTGGTGGTGAAAAACCACACAGGAGACAAGGGTCGCAAAACACCGGGGTGGGGCGGGAAAATGCTGTCAAGAGCGCCTTGAATACAAAGAACCACGATTAGACGAAGACTTGGTCAAATTTGAAGTGTTCTCGACAACGTACATGCGGACAAACACGCGATCTTTATGGACGCACTAAATACTCCCTTGCTCCGCGGAGCACGCCTCGAGAGTACTACTTCTGGTGTCGTATCGTCGAATACGTCGGTTGTTGCATGCCCAAAGCTCAGCGCGCTGCTACTGCCCAAACGCTCGGCATCTACACAGCGGAGCCAAACTTGAACGTGTTTTCTTCCCTCCAAGATAACAAAACAAGAGTTTAGTTATGCCCTTCCTGCATTCCTCCGCAGGGAATTTACCGCCCCACCCTGCGACATGAGTACACCACCCTGCGGTGTCGGCACGGACAACACCGTCTTGGGGGAGGGCTTGACGTGGGCCAAAAACACGAAATCAACGAGTTCCGATGAGAGTGTCTTTTTTGTTGTTTGCGTGCTGCGTGCGTCGACTCCACTCCGATACAGACGTACATACCCCTGCAACTACAACAGGCCGGAAGAGCACCGGCAGCAAACAACACAAAAAGCAAACAACCATGGCAGCAAACAATCACGGGAGCGAACACATAATCATTGCAGCGAGCAATCCTGGCAGCAGCCAATAATCCCAGAAAACAACTATGAAGAAAACAATAATGGCCGAACGCACAGTTCCAACGCCGCCATTTTCGGCACCGCTACTTCTTCAACTGCTGTGGACCAATCGAGCTTAGTTCATCGGCCGATGGGGTGTGGCATCTTGAGTCATATCATGTCACCTACATAACGTGAGGTGTTTTCGATTTAGTAAACATGTTTGGACAAAGCATACAGTCGGGGAAGTTGGGCAAGGGTTAGGGTTTAGAGAATTGGGCCTGCGTTCCCCCTCCTTGTTCTAATTCTTCCTACACTTACTTGATCTCGCGAAAGCGGTCCGATTTTCTCGTGGCATGCTGAAATCGGTCGACGCACGGCCGCGGTATGCATGTATTGCATGCGGGGCTATCATCCACACGTGCCCCTACAACGGTGGTGGAAAGAGAGAGGCCATGCTATGCATACGCACTTCCGAGGGAGACAAAGGTGCACGCGCTCGCCTTCTCATTATTTTCCATCTGCTTAACCTGCAAGTACGCATGCGATACATACATACCTTCCGCCCGTGAGGACTTTCACACTTCCTACAAAATCTCTCTTACTTTTTTATCTTGAGGTGTAACGATCGTTGGTCGTTGAACCTCATATGCCAATAAGTACTTATGTGGCCACTGATTTGGGTCAGCCGTTGCTGCAAGCACACCTGGTTTGTTGGCGTTGTCGACTTTCTTAGGTCGCAAAGTAGTACACTACACCCCCCGGACAGGGCTTCAAAGCCCGACACCTCTGCAGCAAAACCAGCAGGCAACTGTGTCATCGAGAGCTTCCCAAACCCGTCACGTTCGATGTTGTACTAACATCCCCTTCGTCCTGGGGTAATCGAGCTTTGAAGTTCGGCCAAGGATGTGCGGCATCGTATATGCTCTACCAATGCTACCTACGCATTTGTACGGCAGGAAGGAGAGGACGTGACGCATACAGGCATGGTGGGTTTAACGCTAAGATAGTAGCAACAACGACAGCAACAACGACAGCAACAAACGGGTTAACATCAACGACAGCAGCAGCAAGAGCAACAAAAACAGCAGCAGCAACAGCAGCAGCAACAACAACAACACTAGCAACAAACAGCGACATACCTTAAGGTGGTTGTAGAGGCTTCGTAATTCGCTGTACCTCTGCGCCGACACGCACGACGCCCCGTCCCTTATTCGGCTCACCCGGATGATGTAAACCACGAAGCTCGTCTTGGGCCCGATGCCTAGGTCTTTTATCCAGGCCTGGGGGTTTTCACCACGAACATGTACAGCACGAGTGAGTAAGGCGCGAAAAGCAACATCCGTAACCTGGTGTGTCTGGTAGGCTACAAGCAGGAGGCACACGCGATAGAGTGCCGTTGCAGCTCGGCTTGCCTCGGAACGAAGAGACTTTGTTGTTGTTGTTGTTGTCTTGACACAAAAAAACGTTCCGATGTCTCTATCCAGACCTCCCTCTGTCTGTGCTGATCTATACTTGACGCGATCGATTCCTGTAGTCACAGGCGAACTTGACCTGAAAAGGTATACTAAAATAACATGCACCCGAAGGGTCCGCAAGCCAATAGAAACCAACGACAGATGTGAAAGATGTCATGTACTGACAGAATCCCGAGCCAGCTTGGCGTTGTCGAGGGGCGGGTTGGCGCTTGTGCTCGGCTCAAAACAAAACTACAATCAACACGGAAACCAACAAAGAGAGTCACTTTGACAGTTGACTCAGTGCTTCACCTGCTTTCGAGTCTCAGCGGCCAGGACTTTGACGTCAAACTTGGCGAGGTTCTTCTCGATGGCCAGGCCTTGCCCCGTGTTCATGAGCATATTTATCTGAAAGCGAACAGAAGGGGGGGGGGGGGTACTCATAGTCGTGCATGCCGTAGTCGTTAGACCATTGACCTCGCATCCCTACAAAGCCGGGACGGAGCACGCCGGGTTCTCACCGGACCAGGCTCTCACATCACCAAGCGCGAAGCGCCGTGAGATATTCGG